AGACACACACACACACACACACACTCACACACAGACACACACTCACACACAGACACACACACTCACACACACACACAGACGCTTCTCTCTGTCTCTGCTTCTTCTGTAGTCCGCACAGAGCTCCAGTGAGGCCCTGATTTGCCCTTTGACCTCTGAACTCTGACCTGAGTGTGCGATCAGCTGTTAATTAACTTCCCCTCTCACCTGCGCTGGCTCTCATTGGCTTAAATAATTTATCACATGATATTTCATCTCTGACATAAAAGTATGAAAAAATATTATAGCTTATATACATATATTTTATGATATTTTATATACACCTTTTGTGTGGCTTAAAAATTATGAAAATTTTAAAATATATATACATATATATAAAAACATCAAATATCTATATAAGCTATACTATTTAGATTCTTCCTTTATATAGTGATATTTTAATTTTTTTAGATATATATTTTTTACAATGTTCATATTGTTCATCATTTTAGGATTCTTTCTGAATGTGTCCTGTGCTGTGACATGTTTAGATAGATGTTATATTTATGCATATTTTTATATGTGTTTTTTTTCATATGATATACATATATGTTTTGTGTTTAATCTTGTTGAATATGGTGATTGTGGTCATATTGTTGACATGCTGCAGTAAAGATATACCTCTCCAGAAGGAGTTTTCCAGCAGCTTGTTTCTTCTGTGTTTAATGAGAAAACGCAGCAAAGGGCAGGCGGCGTGGAAGTTTGTAATTTCATTAACTACTGTATATTTATTATATTCACAGATAACCTTTTGCTAGCAAACCCAGACTTTATTACAGATTAGTGAGCTCAAAGGTCAGATTAGCATCAGCTGGCCGCTCTGCTTCTGTTTCAGTTCATGTGAAGCGCGTGAAACACGAGCTCTGTTTGCATCCGCTGCTGTGCGTGTTTTTGTTACGGTCACTTAACATCCCTGTTATTCTGCGCGGCGCTCCGGGGCCCCGGCGGCCCTTCCCCAAAACGGACACAGGGAATGTCTTATGTTTGCCCTTTACGTCGTAATGTTTATGTGCTCGTTTATCCCACTGGTGGAGAGAGAAGCTCTGAGAAAGAGAGGCGACAGGAATAACCTTCCTCACACTCATCCTCAGTGAAGCAGGTTTTATCAAAGCACACTCTCTGTTATATGAGGTCAGTTACACTCTACCTTTTTGATTAGGGAACTCTCAATACATTTTTCATAACATATTTCACCTCAAAATTAAAAACAACCTCGTGACATTATTTCCATGACACATAAATACATGAAAAAAGAATTGCATTGCTGCATTGCAAAAACACAATTATATATGATATAATTGTTCAATTGTAAAGAAGTTTATACACACACTGCAAAAAATGGGTTTCTTACTTTGTATTTGTGTCTTGTTTTATAGAATAAATATCTAAACGTTCTTGAATCAAGATGCATTTACTTGACAGGTGAAATGACTTAAGATTTTAAGTCTTGTTTTCTAAAGGAAATAATCAAAGTTTTGTTAGTTTTTGCTTAAAACGAGCAAAAATATCTGCCAATGGGGTAAGAAAAATAATCTTGTTTTAACTACAGTTAACGCTAACTAAATGTTTATCTTTTTTTTCAGAAAACATCATCTTTTTTTCAGAAAACAAGACTTAATATCATAAATAAATGTAACCTTTAAAGTAAATGCATCTCGATTCAAGAATGTTTAGATATTTATACTAGAAAACAAGACAAAAATACTAAGAAAGAAAATCATTTTTTTGCAGTGCATTATAATATTGATAGATTGACTTTGTTTAGATGGCAAAATGAATGTTTGGAAATGTAAACTGATATTTCCTACTGACACACTCCAGCAAAAGATAGAAATAACCGACTTAAAACCATTTTTAAGCTGCTGGAAATACTAATGTTCTAATCATTTTGGCCAGCACTGTAGTAAACTAAAACTATATTAAAAATCATTAGTTGAAATAAAATAAACATTAAATGAAATAAATAAAATATACAAAATTAAATATACATTTCAGTTAGTTGTAGCTGTAGTTTCCACGCTTTCAGTTAGTTCCACACTGCAAAAACAAAACATATACGTATATATATACTTCCCCAAAACGGACACAGGGAATGTCTTATGTTTGCCCTTTACGTCGTAATGTTTATGTGCTCGTTTATCCCACTGGTGGAGAGAGAAGCTCTGAGAAAGAGAGGCGACAGGAATAACCTTCCTCACACTCATCCTCAGTGAAGCAGGTTTTATCAAAGCACACTCTCTGTTATATGAGGTCAGTTACACTCTACCTTTTTGATTAGGGAACTCTCAATACATTTTTCATAACATATTTCACCTCAAAATTAAAAACAACCTCGTGACATTATTTCCATGACACATAAATACATGAAAAAAGAATTGCATTGCTGCATTGCAAAAACACAATTATATATGATATAATTGTTCAATTGTAAAGAAGTTTATACACACACTGCAAAAAATGGGTTTCTTACTTTGTATTTGTGTCTTGTTTTATAGAATAAATATCTAAACGTTCTTGAATCAAGATGCATTTACTTGACAGGTGAAATGACTTAAGATTTTAAGTCTTGTTTTCTAAAGGAAATAATCAAAGTTTTGTTAGTTTTTGCTTAAAACGAGCAAAAATATCTGCCAATGGGGTAAGAAAAATAATCTTGTTTTAACTACAGTTAACGCTAACTAAATGTTTATCTTTTTTTTCAGAAAACATCATCTTTTTTTCAGAAAACAAGACTTAATATCATAAATAAATGTAACCTTTAAAGTAAATGCATCTCGATTCAAGAATGTTTAGATATTTATACTAGAAAACAAGACAAAAATACTAAGAAAGAAAATCATTTTTTTGCAGTGCATTATAATATTGATAGATTGACTTTGTTTAGGTTACTCTCAGGCAATTTCTGATTATTATCGATGTTGAAAACAGTCGTGCTGCACAATATTTTTGTGGAAACCTGTCAGACTTTGTTCTGTGTTTTGTGTGTGTTTTGCTCCCCATGTGCCTTCCATGCCCATATTTGGTCCTTCCCGTTCCTGTCCTTATCTGTTCCAGGTGTCCCCTTTTCAGTTCTATTGATCCCAGGTGTGTCTCGTTATCTCATCGGCATGTCATTTGTATAAATAGTGTTCCTTGTTATCAGTTCGGCGTCCAGTGTTGTTAATGTCTGTGAACGTCTTCCTTCCCGCTACATGTGATTTCCTGGTTCCCGTGATGTGATTAAAGTCTGTGTTTGGATTGTACTCCTGGTCTCCTCGTTCCTCGCTCCGTGCTCCTCCACAGTAGCGCACACATGACAAACCGTGCTACGTTTTATTTTTCAGGATTCACAGATGAACAGAAAGTTCAAAGGAACAGCATTTATTTGAAATGGAAATCTTTTGGAACATTATAAATGTCTTTACTGGCACTTTTGATTAATTGAATGCGTCCTCGCTGAATAAAAGCATTGTTTGTGTGGGCTGTACAGTAATGTTTATTCTCTCGCTCTCTCAATTCAATTCAATTCAGTTAGTTCGGAGACAACCGGACCTACGGCGGATACTGGAACGCCCCGCTGCTGCCACACAAGAGCTACAGCATCTACTATCAGGCCGTCAGCGCCGCCAACGGGGTACATGCATTCATTCCCATCAATCTGAACCAGGTCTGACTCCAGAATCAGAACGTTCTGCTGGAGTGTGTCAGTAGGAAATATCAGTTTTTGTCATTAAATATATATATATATATATATATTATGTTCTCCAGTACAAATATGTAAACATTTTTAAATCAAGATACATTTATTTGAGAATAAAAATGACTTAAAATATGAAATCTTGTTTTCTGGAAAAAATAAAATGATAAAAATTATGTTAGTTTTTGCTTAAAACAAGAAAAGAATCTGCCAATGGGGTAAGAAAATTAATCTTGTTTCAATAGGAAAACAAGATTACTTTTCTTGCTTCCTTGGAAGATATTTTTTCCTCATTTTAAGAATTTTTTTAATTTATTTTTTTAAATCAATACTTAATATCTTCAGTCATTTTGCTTCTCCAATAAATGTGTCTTGATTTCAGAATGTTAAGATATTTTGCACTGGCAGTGCAATTTTAATTTTAATTTAGTGTAGCTTGATGCACTAAAAATAACTCAATCAAAAACCGAAATAACAATGTATAAAAATGATAAAGATATATTTAAAAAAAAAAACACTAAAAATGACAGAAAACAACAACAAAATGACTCAACTTTACCTAAAACAAAAGATTAAAATATTACATTTACATTTATGTGTTAACATTATGCAACCAGTTTGTAAAAAGTAAGATGTATGTAAGCAGAGGTCATATTATAACAGGCTGATGAACATGTACAGTAGGAATGTTTGAAATCAAGTGTTTAGGTGCTTAACTTTTTCCTATCAATTGGAATAGTTCAGGTCTTGAAAGTGCATTCGGATGGAGCTCTATCATATCGGCTGATGTGTTGACATGAAGGCTTTTCAATACAATTATGGATTATTTGGGTGCATGTAAATGTAGCTACTGTAAGAGGAAACTGAGCTCAGAATGAACTTCAGATGTACATTAAAACCATGTGAGGTTGCATTTCCTAAGAAAGTTACCAGATGTATTTATTTACATGCCAAAGACTGGTTTTTACTTGCATTTGGCACTTATTCACCGCAAAAAGATTTTCTTCATCAGTATTTCTGTCTTGTTTTCCAGCACTAAATATCCTTAAATCAAGATGCATTTACTGGAGAAGCGAATGACGTAATGCTATCAAATCTTGCCTTCTGAGAAATTGATCAAAATTAAGTGAGTTTATACTTAAAACCAGAAAAAATATTTGCCAGTCGAGTCAGAAAAATACTTTTGTTTTGAGTGTCACGCGTGATGCTCGCATTAACTCGCTTTGACTTAAAGGGGTCATCGGATGCCCATTTTCCACAAGTTGATATGATTCTTTAGGGTCTTAATGAAAAGTATATAACATACTTTGGTTAAAATATCTCAATGGTAGTGTAAAAAAAACACTGTTTTTACCCTGTCAAAAACAGCTCTGTTCACAACTAGCCGTTTTGGTGAATGTCCCTTTAAATGCTAATGAGCTCTGCTGACCCCGCCCCTCTCTTCCGTACAGTGCACTGCAAAAAATGATTTTCTTACTTAGTGTAAAAAAAACACTGTTTTTACCCTGTCAAAAACAGCTCTGTTCACAGCTAGCCGTTTTGGTGAATGTCCCTTTAAATGCTAATGAGCTCTGCTGACCCCGCCCCTCTCTTCCATACGGTGCACTGCAAAAAATGATTTTCTTAGTATTTTTGTCTTGTTTTCTAGTACAAATATCTAAACATTCTTGAATCAAGATGCATTTACTTGACAGGTAAAATGACTTAAAATGATCAAAATTGTGTTTGTTTTTGCTTAAAACGAGCAAAAATATCTGCCAATGGGGTAAGAAAAATAATATTGTTTAGCCTTTGAATTAAGATTACTTTTCTTACCCCATTGGCAGATATTTTTGCTCATTTTAAGCAAAAACTAACACAATTTTGATCATTTTTTTAAGAAAACAAGACTTAATATCTTAAGTCATTTTACCTGTCAAGTAAATGCATCTTGATTCTTGATTCAAGGATGTTTAGATATTTGTACTAGAAAACAAGACAAAAATACTGAGTAAGAAAATCATTTTTTGCAGTGTGACAAGCCGTTCTCTGAGACTTTAGCCGCATTTAGCCGCGGAACTTGCCGACTAGCACATTATTAGGAAAGACGATTTGCAAAGATTCTTAAAAAAAACTTATGCTCACTTCTTCTGTAGTTGAAGCTGGATCACGAATGATTTGCGCAAACATAGACGCATTAAGGTAGAGCAGGGGGCGCATTCCCTTCAGAAACAAAGCGTAAACAAAGAGCAGCCTGGGTCTGTGTGACCTCACACAGCCAAGAATCTGAGATCGGCTTGATTTGAAAAAGGGGTTATCATTTCTCGGGATTTAGAAAAAACACTGGGTGGATTTTTAGCATTATAGGGTGGTTGTGTCCACACACTGCCAAGACACATTTCAGTTCAAACAACATGTAAAAATGAATTTTGCATCCGATGACCCCTTTAATGCATCGCTCTCTCTCACCTCTCGTCATGCTTTTAAAGAAATCACGCCGTTTGGATTGACAGTCGTGCTGCTGTAAAAGGCAGAGGAGGAGCTGGCGGCTGTAATTGATGTCCTAATTGACTGAGGATCTGTGTTTTAGCCTCCTGATGGATGCAGACAGGCACTTACCGAGACGGCCCTCGTGTCTGTCTGTTCAAGAGCTGTAATTCATTAAGTCAGGCCTTTCAGTGCCATCAGGATGTGCTGCTAAATGCACATTTGTGTTTGCTTTTCTTTATAATAGCAGGACGAGTGTTTGTTTATGTTGTCGTGAGTCTCGTTCAGCAGGTCAAAGGTCGTTCTTAGGCTCTAATGGACGGCTGGAGGTGGAAGTGTGTGTTTAAATGCCACCATACAGTGTGTGTTTAAATGCACACTGTATGGTGGCACAAACACAATCTTCCAAGCTGAAGATTAGAAAAACACTCAATGCTTGCTGGGAAACATAAAAGTTGCTGAAATGTGCAGGGCTGTTGCAAAAAAATAAAAAATCCTGTTCTTAATAAGTGTTTGTGTCTAATTTTCCAGGTAAAGCATCTAAAATTCCTTATAAGAAGATCAATTGACTGAATAAGATATTAAGTCTAGTTTTCAGATAAATTTTTTTTGTGTGCTTTTTTTCACTTTTTTTTAAATACTTAAAACAAGTGAACAAATCTGCCAGTGCAGTCAGACAAAATACACTTGCATTAAAGATACAGGCTATGAAAACAACTTTTAATATGCTATGCAGTTTTGCTTCTCAAGTAAATTTGTGTTTTTATTTTTTCATGCATTTTAAAATATTTTGTGGGAAATTAATTAATTAATTTGCAGGTTGTGTGTGTGATTTCTGGGATATTTCAGGGATGTTAAGGTTCCTAGGCAGTTGCTACGGCATTGTAACACTGTTGCACAGGTTATGGTGGTTGCTAGGGTGTTGCTAGGCTGTTCTAGAAGGGTGATAGGGTGTTCCACAGGTTCTGGTGGTTGCTAAGGTGTTGCTAGGTTGTTCTGGATGCATGCAGTTGCTAGGGGATTGGGTGCTAGGGTGTTGTTAGGGCATTGCTAGATTGTTGCACAGGTTCTGTGGTTGCTAGGTTGTTCTGGATAAGTGCTAGGGTGTTGTTAGGGCATCGTTAGACTGTTGCACAGGTTCTGTGGTTGCTAGGGTGTTGCTAGGTTGTTCTGGATAGGTGCTAGGGTGTGGTTAGGACATTGCTAGATTGTTGCACAGGTTCTGTGGTTGCTAGGTTGTTCTGGATGGGTGTTAGGGTGTTGTTAGGGCATTGTTAGACTGTTGCACAGGTTCTGTGGTTGCTAGGGTGTTGCTAGGTTGTTCTGGGTGGGTGCTAGACTGTTGCACAGGTTCTGGTGGTTGCTAGGTTGTTCTGGATGGTTACTGGGCAGTTGTCAGAAGATTGTTAAACTGTTGCACAGGTTCTGGTGGTTGCTAGGTCGTTGCTAGGTTGTTCTGGATAGGTGCTAGGGTGTTGTTAGGGCATTGTTAGACAGTTGCACAGGTTCTGTGGTTGCTAGGGCATTGCTAGGTTGTTCTGGATGGTTACTAGGCAGTTGTCAGGCCATTGCTAGACTGTTGCACAGGTTCTGGTGGTTGCTAGGGCGTTGCTAGTGCATTGCCAAAGTGTTCTGAGAGGTTACGTTTGTGTTGCTAGGTGGTTGTTGGGCTGTTTAGAAAGACCTAAAGGATGGTGGTAATTTTAACAGATGTAGTTTTAAAGCTCTAGCAAGAGTTTCAGTCTTTTGAAACACCGTTTATGTGCAATAACAGTATGCTGGCTTTGATAAACTGACAGAGCTAGAGAGCACAGCAGTCGGCATATTAAAGAACAGCAGTAATAAAGCAGAACACGGTGCTTTGTTGTTGGTGTTTGTGTAGCTGAAGACTGATGTCAGACGTTAGTTTGATTACAGGCGCTAAAGCGAGTCGTGCTCCAGGTGCTCGGACTGAACGCTCACATACAGCATTCGGCTGAAATGCACTTTTAATGCCGCAGCTGCTTAGCAGGCGTAGAAAATATATCCGCATATACATCACTGGAGTCATGCAGCAGCAGAACCAGTTACTGGACTGTTTTCATTCTGCTGACAAGAGTAAAACATTATTTACTCCTGAAGAAAACACTGGAGCCACTGGAACTTCATCAGTGAACATCACGGATGGCTGATGCACATGATACACTTCTATCAACAGATTATTAGTAGAATTTAATTTATTATAATAAAATGTAATATAATAATAATAAACAGCATTATAATTAATACTATAATCATTATAATAAATATTTATTATTATTATTATTATTTAATTTTTTCACTACTGTAAAAGCTCTGGAAAGGTTCTATTATTATTATTATTATTGTTATTATTTCATTTTTTCACTACTGTAAAAGCTCAAATGTTTTACAGTAGTGAAAAAAAAAATAACATACACAATGAACAGTCAATGGGAAAGTGCATATTTACACAATTAAGCATATAAAGTAATATAAATTAAATTAAGAATATAATTTAATATTCAAAACTGATTTTTTTTTAGCACAATTAATTTTAGAAGATCACAGAGGATGATGATAAATATCTCTGCGTATCAATCAATCAATTAATCAGTATTTATTTCTTAAGCACATTTAAAAGCAGCACATGTTGGCCAACGTAAATTATTTGTTCTATTGAATCATTCAGATGTTTGATATTTTGTATGTATTTTTGTTTTTCAGGAGACAAAAATCGACTGTGTCCGTGTCGCTACCAAAGGTAGGCATTCTAACTTATGCAAGCAGACATTGAAAATGTGATTAATTTTACACATAACATAATGCATGTAATCAGCATGACGCAGCAGTGACAAACTGAACAGATGCTGTTAGTTTTGTAGCCTGATTTGGTTTCTGAAATGGTTCACATGCATCACTTGTCCAGTCAATGTTATTAACCTTGTAAACATGCAAATAAGAACATTAACCCAGGGTTAATTACTAATCCAGGTTAAAGTAAGAGCAGTGTGAGACAAGAGACGTGACGACCCAAGATTGAAAACGAGCGTGTCTGAAGATGAAGTTCTGCATGTTCTGCTTTTGAGTGTCTGTTGTGCAGGTTTTCAGTAACTGCTTGTTTTCTTCTCTTTCTTCTGTTTGTTTCTCCTCTCTCTCTCTCTCTCTCTCTCTCTGTCACACACACACTGGTTCTATCTCTGTCTTTCTGCATGTGTGTGGATCTTGTTCTTGCAGCTGCTATCTTGGTGACGCAGCTCACCACTCCTTACGTTCGCATCGCTCCGGCCGCTGGAGACAATCGGCTAACAGGTCAGAAACTCACTCATTCACTGTATATGTGTGTGGATGAATTTGAATCTGTCTCTAGCATAATCTTAGCAGAGATAAAGCGCTGATGACATCATCTTGTTCAAGTTTTTTTTGACCAATCAGATTCTCTCTAGGATCAATGTTATTTTTGTATTGTTGATAGTTGTTATTGATATTTTGAAATAATTTTTCAATTTTCCATCTTTATTTTAATTTAATTAAAAGTTTTAGTAATTTTTTTAAAATATGTCTAATTGTCTATATAGTTTTTATTCATTTTTATATCAGTTTTAGTTTTTGTTATTTTAGTACTTTAAGTTAAACCAAATGAAAATGCTAAATGTTGTCTAGGTAACTAGGTGAAATAAAATAAGTTTAAGTTTTTTTTTATTTTATTTCAGTTTTTTTTTTTTCTTATTTCAAAGTTTTTTATGGTTTTAGTTAACGATAATAACCAAATGAGCCTCCACCAACCCAATGTCCTCTTTTAGTAAGAAGTATGTCAAAACAGGAAAGAAATATGCGCCCATTGTTTGAGTTTTTTTAAACGTATGATGCTAAACGTGAATTTAGTTGTTTTTAAGTCCATAAAATCTCTCAGGCAAACGTTTCTTTAAACACACACATATCTCTTTCATTTGTCATCACAAACTCTCTCTGTCATTATCAGACTGATGTGCATGAGCTGCATTTATTGAATTGTGTTACAGTATCTCACAGAAGTGAGTACACCCCTCACATTTTTGTAAACACTACTTTACATTGTAGCAAAGTGTCATTTCTTGAGTGTTGTCACATGAAAAGATATAATAAATATTTACAAAAATGTGAGGGGTGTACTCACCTCTGTGAGATACTGTATATTCAAGGTTAAAACAGACCCAATATTTGTAAGGTTTGATTATATCAGCGGATGAATGTGGTTCTTCAGATTCTGCAAACACATTCACTGACAAACAAAGAGAAAAAATTCTGGAACTTGAATTAATTAAAAGAGAAACACAACTGTATTTCCTGTGTTTACTACTGAAGCAGGAAGTTAAGGGTTCTGGCCCCATCCCTGAGCAGGAAATGATGTCATCAGTATTCTGTACATTTTTAATCTGCTGCTCTATTTTATTTGATCAGTGCACACTTTCAGTCGTACACCAGCATATAGATGATGTTAGATAACAATGAAATGTTATGTTTAAATATGAAATGAGGCATTATCTAATCAAATATGCACTGATTTGCAAACATTTCCAGAACAAATCTGGACACTGGATAAAGCCAAGATTAAAATTCTTGTTTGATTTTGTTGACAATATTAGATTTAAAGGCTTTTACTGATGGGATTTTATATTTCTCGTTTTATCACTCCACAAATCAGAAAACACTGTCAACAGACAGAAAATAATTCATTTTTACCATGTTTTTAGGAATAAATGTTGAATAAATAAATGTGAATGATATATGAACAAACCCCTCAGTAAAAACCTTCAGAATATAGATTGGAATAAAACTCTACAATTTGGAATTTATACGTGTTGCTGAAGTGGGGGAAAAAACTCATTTGCCTTTAAAGATTTGCATTTTTACCATGTTTTTAGGAATAAATGTTGAATAAATAAATGTGAATGATATATGAACAAACCCCTCAGTAAAAACCTTCAGAATATAGAGAGGAATAAACCTCTAAGTTTGGTGTATGTAAGTGTTACTAAAGTGGAGAAAAAAAAACTTTTAAAGATATATATTGTAACTGAAATCTACAGATGCAAATGGATAAAGTGCAATAAAATAAACACTTTTTCATTGTTTTCTTTCCACTAGTCTGAATGAAGACATGTTATGGAAGCAAAATAGATCAAAATATCTAAATTGAGCCGTGCATGAAGTGTAGTGTCTTGCCTCAAACAATCTTCTGTATGACCTTTGACCTTTGGTTGATCTCAGGCGCGGCGACGCACAAACCCAACGCAGTGGAGCCGGAGAAACAGACCGACCACACGGTGAAGATCGCCGGCGTCATCGCAGGAATACTGCTCTTCGTCATCATCTTCCTCGGCGTGGTGCTGCTCATGAAGAAACGGTAAGAACCTCAACACACACACACACACACACACACACAGTGAAGATGAGTTACACTGACTTCACCACGGTTAAGGGTGATGACACATCAGAAAGTACAGTTAACCAAAGTTTGGACATACGTGACTCAGTTCATGTTAAAAACCTTTAATCTAAAGACCTCTCCTTAAATGTGTGAAATTACACTCAAAACATATTTAGGCTAAAATGTAAGATTTATGTATTTGAATTGCATTCAAATTTTCTATTCATTCAGATGACAAAGTTTTAACATAAACACTTATAAACTTAATATGATGCTTGTTGATATTTGTCAGTCATACATTATTGAAAGAGGCCAAATTTCTGTAATAGTGCTATTAATCTGAAAATGTTTTAAATACACAATTACTAGGTTTATATATTTATCATCAAATAATTAATAATATCGTTAAATCTCATACATTTCAACTGATTGAATATTGCTTGTTCCACAGCTAGTCATATTTTAACCATGCTCATACTTTTTAACCATGTTTTTACTTGGTTTTAAATGAACAAGTATTATTGTTTTTACAATGAACAGATTTATGCATAAATAAATGCATTTTAAAAATGTGATTTTTAAATAAAATCAAATAGATGCAAATAGTTAATCATAAACTATGCCATTCTTTTTGGGAATGCAGTGTTTCATATGTAGTTTATGTTAAATCTAATCCAAATTCATGAAAATTATTATATGCAATTGAAATAAATGCTACATTATGCCTCACATAGGACAAAGAGGATTAAGATGTGAAGCAATTCAAATACATAAATCTTAAATTTAGGCCTAAATATTTTTTTGTTTGTTTGTTTAGTTTTGCGCTAGTGTGTAGGTGAGGTACATTGAATCGCTGACACGAGAGAATAGTTTAGTCTAGCCTTTAATGGGGATGGCCAACACAACAACAACAACAACAAGCACACGTGGGTCATCGGGGTTACGAACAACGTCAGGAGTCACGTCACGATCCACGTCAAACTTCGCATACTGGCACCGCCCATTTTCCCTCCAGAACATACCCCCTCTTCTAAGGCACCTGTGGACGTTTGAAACAGACAAAAAAGGGGAGAAACAAAAAGGTGACATGTGACAACACAAGATGAATCAATGGAACCATCTGTCTAGTGCCAACAGCACGGCAGGTCCTTATGGAGCCTTACAGAACACCAAATGCAAAGCATCAACACAACTTCCTTAAAGCAAAGCAAGGATACGGGTGAAGGAAGCCCATCTAGTGCAGCTCATAATCCTTTAACTTGTCGGGAAACCGACGGAGACGGCTTGTTAATCTGTTAAGCGAACCCTATAAGAAGCACGCCGCAACTGGGAACCCCTAAACTTATGGACGTTGCACCACGTCCCGTCTGAACTAAGCACAAGATATCTGATTCGAGCCTGTGACTTGTTACGGTCACTATACAAATACACAAGATCGCCAGGGCAAATATCAAGGCTAAGTGCACCCCGACTCAGTGGAGCTTTAGCTTTAACACTGTGGGGGTGGTTAGCCAGGCGTTGCGCATGCTGCAACGCAATCAGTTCCCGGTCATGCACCAGTAACTGTTCGAGAGAGAACGGCTATTTAGCCGAGCAGCAGCTACAGACAACAGCAAGGGGGTGACGACCCCACAGTGTGGTTCTAGTTGCAAAATCTCGCCCTGTAGCTCCTGGATGGCCTTTTCGGCCACCGGATTTTTGTTGATATTTTTAGCATCGCCAACCTCAATGGCCAGCCTGTATTGAGTAAGCACTGTGTCCTTGGCCAGTGCTTAAAAACCTGGTTCTGGGTCAGTTCTAACTATAGCAAAGGGGCCACAATCTCAGGTGGATAACAGCTGGATTGCTCCACTGCGAACACAGGGGACTTCGCCAGTGCGGCACATTGGTGACATCCCTTACTGGTAAGCTGGATGGCCGAATCCATGTCCAGCGCGTAGAAGTACCGGCCAATAACAAGTCTCAACTGGTGAGCCGAGGTCTGATCTAACCTAATGTGCAATGACATAAGCAACCCATGCAGTACTGACCTCGGAACAACGATGCATTCGGTAGTGTTTGACAGTGGTGTGTCACACCGCACAACTAACAGCCCATCACTTGCTAAGGTAGCAGTATTTAAATACCGTTTCACATCTTTGACATTGGTAACTCTCTTGGAAGGGCGTGTACCCTGCCGAAGATGTGGAGGTCTGGACACTCAGCCTGAATAGACACCCACATGGCTCTATTGGCAAAGGGCACCTTTTGAGCTCCCCGCAAGATGTCGGCAACGTCAGTACGGCACACGACAGAGACCATGGATTCACAGACGAAGCTACACACCTGACCTGCCGGACTGTCACATTGTGCAGAATGGCGACTAGCATAATCTGAAGGGAGAATAACAGCCCCAGCAACATGACGAACAGAGACCTGAAAGCAGCTTGCAGTAGACAAGAAAGTAGTAACGCGTGGGCTCGCAGAAAATTCCCACCTACACAGCTTCTCAAACGCCTGTACGCATGGTTTACTGTCAGTGAGCACACACGCCTTCTGTGATGACTGAATAATACATGGACCAAAATGCTTCAGGGCAGCGGCTAAAGCTAGGGCCTCAATCTCACAGGGAAGCCAATTGATCTGATTTTTGCGAAGCTTAGCGCTAAAATGTCCGGCGATCAGCAACTTTTCCTCCCTTGTAACATATATTGCTGCGCCCACCATGAGTGACAATCCAAAGTTGATCATCAGGTTGTGATATTGTCATAGTGCAACTAGTGGATAACGCCTGCTGAGCCCTTTGAAAACACTGGAGGAGCTCGTCTGACCACACAACTGCAGCCGTCAACTCACCACCAGTGACCATGTTGTCGAAGCGGGCAAGGATCGACACACAACACTTAAGAACACGAGCTAGGACTTTATACGCACCAATAAAGGACTGTAGGCCACTAACAGTCGCTGGAGGGGTGCACGAGGCCAATGATGCAATGCAGTGCGAACTGGCACGAATAGTACCCTGACTCCAGACCAACATTTTGCCCCAACTGGGGCAACAACCGTCTTACTGGGAGATAAGCACAGATTGCATGCCTGGAGAGCCACACTGCAAGAAGATCCTCAAGGGTATCGGCACCACAGAACAGGTCATCAGCGCCATTTTAGCCCCTAAACTGTAAACTGAAGACCTCATCAAATTCCCTATAGACCTCCCGAAATGTATCTCTAATGTCCGCCGTCATAATGCCATTGGGGTCTAATGAGATGAGGTCAGAGGATAGTGTTGTACTGTGCATACTGGGCTTGCGAGCGACAGCTTGAGGAACTTCCAACTGGGCTTTTTCAGTTTGGGACTCCGGTATGTAGGTCATTCGAACACGGCATACATGATCATGTTTTCTAATGCCCTGTAGTGCGTCAGTCAGATTGGGAATTCTGATTTTTCAGAATACCCCAAAAAAACAACGATGGAGCAAACCAGTGTGCACAGTCCTGTGAGGTGAGGTACATTGAATCGCTAATGAATCTAGACAAAGCTCATGTGTTTATTTGTCACGTTTTGATCTGCACATACTGTACATTAGTATTACATTTCCATGCATACATTCCCTAGTGAAAAAAAATATAATAAAATGTATTTAAAATGCATTTATTTCATGCTAAGTATGCTACAAATACATTTACATATTTATGTACTGATAAAAAATGCCCTGCAATTGTACTTTTACTATACTAAACTAGTATACTTAAAGCCTGCTAAATTGGAATAACTAATTTTGTACTTAATGCACTTGAATTGTGCAGAAGTAGTGCTAAAGTCCAACTAAAGATGCACTTAGTATATTTATGCTAAAGTGGAACTATTGCAAGTGTACTTTAGGTAGCCTACACTTTAAATATTTTGCATTTAAAGGCCGATATTATTCAAAGACCACACAACCTTAATCAATATTGACATTAAAACACATTTTAGGCTTAATATTAAGAAATGTGCTTTGTGCACAAGTAGTACTCCAAATAAAGTCTCGAGCGACATGTCACTAAATATGTTAATAGATTTGAACTATACTTAGTATGAAATAAATGCTTTTTAAATATATTACTTTTTTACTAGGGTTTGACTGATGCTTTTTTCCAAAACGAATTAAATTGCATTCAGGCTTTACGTGTTTTCAATGCATGCATTCCCTGGAAATCCAAGAAGCTACAGGAAGAAACTCTGTTATTTCAGTCCTGTGACTATTATTCTAACCTGTGCATTAATATTAACGAGGAAGGAGCAGATGTGTCCAAACTTTCGTCTCAGTCAGATCAGGACTTTGTGGAAAACCGCAGAGAGCCAATCAGATTGTCTGGAGTTTAACCGCAGATATTAATAATAGATTTTCCTCCCGATTTCTACCTGACCTTTCATCCGCATTGTCTATGCGACACTGAATTATTAATCTAATTATGTTGATAAGCCTGGTTAAAATGCTGTGTAATGGCCTGATAAAGAGCCGTTCTCCCGATGACCCTGCATCTAAAATATGAATTACATATAGTTTTAGACTGTGAGACTCATACATGTCTATCTAAACGTCACACACAGTTCTGTCTGTTGTCATCATCTCTGTAATACAGAGTTTGCATTATTAAAATGCAGTTATATTAACATAATATTAATTGAAATGCTATAAAAACACAAAAAATTAAGCTGCATAACATTAAACTGACAACTCTTTTGGGTTAATCTGTATTTTTTAAGGAGTGAGAGAGGTTGAGAAGCGCTGCTGTAAAGTCATCCGTTCTGTTTCTGAATGTTGTTTGCATGAAGAGACGGGTTTATTTCACACACGCGTGTTCAATAATCCCAAACACCGGATTCACCAGATTTCCCTCCCGGAGAGATGAGCGCTGATCACTCCGCAGACATTTTAATTGAATCCCGTTCAATATGCTTTAATCAGATGAACGAGCGCGATTGAATCTCTCGCATCTATTTGGTTTAATTTGCTGAATTAGATTAGAACGTGAGGAGAACATGCTAATTCCTCATTTAAGGCCGAGAGCACGCTCTGGACGCTGCATCTGGTCATTCACAGAGCAAATGTTTTCATACTCCTCTAATTACATCCTGAAAAAATAGGAGATGCACTGAGGAAGGTGAATTAATGTTGGTTTTATTGCTAATGTACAGTGTGTTCTGATGTATCTGTGCTCTGACTGACCTTTCACACATGACATCGTCCTCATAAAGACTTATTAATGCACATATGAATGCTCACAGACAGATTATAGATGAAGAGCAGCTACATCTGTTATAATCTACCAGTTCACAGTAAGAAAGAAGTCTCTTCTGCTCAGCAGAGCTGCATTTATTTGATCATGAATGCAGTAAAAATGTGAAATATTATTAGAATGTAAACCAGCTGTTTTCTATGTGAATATGTGTTAAACTGTAATGTATTTCTGTGATGCGCAGCTGTATTTTCAGCATCATTACTCCAGTCTTCAGTGTCACATGATCTTCAGAAATCATTCTAATATGCTGATTTGCTGCTCAACAAACATTTCTGATTATTATTAATGTTGAAAACAGTTGTGCTGCACAATATTTCCGTGGAAACCATGATTCACTACCAAAAACAAATTATTTTATTCACAGAGGATGCATTAAATTGATCAAAAGTGACAGTAAAGACATTTATAATGTTAGAAAACATTTCTTTTTCAAATAAATGCTGTTCTTCTGAACTTTCTGTTCATCTGTGAATCCTGGAAAATAAAATGCATCACGCTTTTCACAAAAATATTTAGCAGCTCGACTGTTTTCAACATTGATAATACTAATTAAAAAAGATTAAATAAATGATTGAATAAATGAATATTCAATTCAGTATTTGATTACTAATATATATTTTTAATTATAAATAAAATTCAATAATTTTAATTAAGAATATAAATTCTAAATTATTATAATTATGTAAATATTAATTAATTGTAAATATGAATGTTATTAATGTATTTAAGAACTTTCAAACGTACTTTTTTATTTTTTTATATAATTTGTAATTTTAATTAAATGTAAATATTAATATACATTTTTTATTAAAAAAATAATGTACATATAAATTAATTTTAAGTTAATATAAATGTATGTTCAATTTGAAATCAGCTAATCAGAATGATTTCTGAATATCATGTGACACTGAAGACTGGAGTAATGATGCTGAAAATGAAATAAATTACATTTTTAACACATATTCACATAGAAAACAGCTGTTTTACATTGTAATAATATTTCACTGTTTTTACTGTATTTTTGATCAAATAAATGCAGCCTCGGTGAGCAGAAGAGGCTTCTTCAATCTAGTGTATGTTAGTTTTGAATCAGCTATTGATCCACTCGGACAAAAACAAACTCACACAGTCCAACCAAAACGTATTCAGACACCTTCAACATTTCTCACTTTATCACAGTTTATTCACTATAGTTTAGAAAACGGTAATAAAATATGACAAGAACAAATTCATCTTGATAATGTCAGATAACTTTGATAGAGATGTATGTAATGAATTCGGTTGAATACCAAGCAGTGCTTCATTTTGTTCAGTCTGTGGTGTAAAAATATCATGTTAGCAATTAAAGAAAAACACTTCAGCAAAACAATCATTTTTGATCCAGTAGTCTACTGTATGAAGACTTTTTGAGTGTAATATGTCACAGTTTACTTTATTTTGCTCTCCTCACTTACATAAATGAACTACAGTGTCCTGCACACACTAGTAAATAAACATCAACAATTATATATCTGCTGTCTGAATAGGTTTTGGTTTGAGTGTACTGTATATAAGTCATATGCCGCTCTGATTGGTCAGCTTGAGTCACATGGGTTCATCTCTCTCTCACGAATGCCACCATGTCTGCTTCTGTTCATTTTCTATCATCTCGTAACATTAATATTTTTTACTTTTTCTTTCCTTCCATCTTCATCTTCCCCTCCACTGCTTAAACCCCTCCACCACCTCACTGGGCAGGAGAACCTATCAGTCCTACACTTACTACCTGTGAGTAAAACACCTTTGTACACTGTTAGTGCCGTGCTATGCTCGACCTGCATGACTCCAGGGCTCCAGAGTTAACATCCAGCCCTGCATTTCAATCCCAGAGCGTTATCTGTAATTATGATCTTCAGCTGATATTGCTTATTGATGTGATCGTCCATCATCTGTCTGTGAATGTCAGAGCCTTGATATGATTACTGATGGTTCGTCTGCAGTCGATGTGATTGAGCGTTGTAGCTTGTAGATTATTAGAAGAACCACTTTCCCAAGGAAACTTCTCCTTGTCTTTCTGTTGCCCAGCTCAGGGAAGGGAAACGTGCTTTTCCCAAACCTGGAATTACCCTTCGTCTCATAAATCATCATCATCATCATCATCATCATCATCATTATTAATCGCAGTCGTCACATGCTTCCGGCGTTTGGCTCCAGTTTTCCTGCATGGTTGGTGTGCGTTGCATGAAGTGCATCATCCTCATGTTTAATGAATGCTTGATCTGTGCTGTTTGTTTGTTTATTTGGAATTTTGTTCAGACCAGAGCCATTTATTAAAAAAGTAACTAGTACCATTCGAAAATACTGCGCTACAGAAAATAAACAATTTAGCTCTTTTGTGAGATTGAATGCAGCCATGAGTTTCTATTTTCATTTTAATTCAAGTTTTAGTTTGTCATTTTTATTAGGTTTTGTTTTAGTTTTTCTTTTCTTTTTTATTTCAGTTTTAGTTTTAGTAATAATTTTAGCGCTTCAACTTAAACTTATTTTATTTCAGTAACTGCCAGGACAACATTATAACTTTTATAAGTTTTTTATTGAATCTATTTTATTTTATTTATTTTTATTTTTTCAAATATATTTTCAGTTTTCATTTTAATTTTAGTTCAAGTTTTAGTATTTGTATGTGCTTTTTCCATTTTTATTAGTTTTTTATTATTATTTTTCTATTTATCTTTTATTTCAGTTTTAGTAATTTTAATACTTCAACTATTCAACTAAATTATTTTATTTCAGTTAGTGTCAGGCATGTAATTTTGATTAAGTTTAAGTTTTATATTTAATCAAATGTTTTATTTTATTTATTAAAAGGTTTTTATACATATTTTCAGTTTTCATTTTAATTTGATGTGTTTTTGTCATTTTTATTTTTTATTTTTTATTTCTATTTATCTTTGTTTTTTTATTTCCATTGTAGTTTTAGTCATTTTAGTATTTCAAATTAATCTTATTTTATTTCAGTTAGAGTTAGGACAACATTTGATTTTTGTTCAGGTTTTAGTTCATTATTAATCTAATATTTATATTTTATTTCACCTTTTATTAACAAAAATTATTTTTATAGTTTCAGTTTATAACACACAGTCAGTGTCTGATTACAGAATCAATAACTCTTATAAACCTTTTTTTAATAAATGAGTGAAAGGGAATTACTGTAACAATCTGACCCACTCATTGAATCAACAGAAGTGTCTCTTATCACTTGACTACAAGTTTTTATTTTTGCGATACAGAAATTAATTTTGTTGCAATAGATACTTTAAAACACTCACACACACACACACACACACTCACATACACTCACATTAATATTTATATTATTTTATATAATTGTATATAATTTAGCTTTTCATTAATTCACAAAAAATAAAAAGTAGATTTAAAAAAAAATTAAATTAGTTTTTCTTTTAGTTAATGAATTTTTCTTTATTTTTATACTTTTATTTTTCATTTTAATTTTAGTTAGTTTTAGTACACTCTAAAAAATGCTGGGTTGTTTCAA